AAATAGCTGTTTTTACGAAAAGTGTTTTTCGACAATAACTTTCGACTACAAAAAGCCACGACATTTCTATTGCCAGAATCGTGTTCCCCTTGCCGAGACGCGTCGAATGAACTATAATTTGACCTTGAAAGGTCAACTTGAAAATTTGACCTCAGGTCAAGGTCATGACCTTACCGGAAAAGGTCATGTTGCATATCAGTCGATGCGTCTCAACAAGACAAACACAATGAGACCATCCCCAGCGTTCTATCTCTTTCCAATCGCGAGTTATTGGCAAAAAACTGTTTGTAGCCTCAAGTGACCTCGGATGACCTGTCTAGAGGCTATCAGCAAAAATGACACCTTGGTCATCACGAGTGGACTAAATCATTGTGATTCTGAAATATTTGGACTGTTCCGATGCGTACTCACGGATCTAGAGGCATTTTCATTTTTCTCCATTGACTTGTAATGGAAAGGTCACGCCACTGACCTGACCTTAGGTCACGGATATAAAAAATCTGAGATATACAAATTGTAGGTGCCCATAACAGCATGCAATCCACCAAGTTTAAAACCTTTCTGACAAACACTGCAGGCTGGACATGATTGCAAACTTTTTTTAGGCTTGGTCAGTTAACTTGACCTGGTGACCTGACCTGACATGACCTGGGGTCAAAAATTTCACACGTTGTCCAAAATTGATGTACCAAAAGGTACCCCAAGCGGCGCGGCGCTACGCGCCGCGGTTTTTTATTCACACGCAAAAAACGCGACAAGGTGGTAACATATGCCCCCCCCCCCCACTGGGGCGAAGGTTAATTAAAATGCCAAGCCGACATATGAAAATTACTATTCCTTTCAGGCCTGTGCCTGCCTCACCGCCCGGCCCCACCCTGACGTCTAGGGCTTTGACGCCTAGGTATTCATCAGGACCCTACACCGGTCCATGATGGCTCCAAACTGACACCTGAGGCTCCTGCACCGGCTTTTGAGGGGCCCATCGACCTCTGATAGCCACCACGCAGGTCTCAAAAGACCATGTCGATTGTTGATATCTAAACCCCCAAGTCTTGGAAGGCCTGTGCCCTATGCAGATTCTTGAGGGCTTTACGTGGGCTTGTAAACATCCCGAACTGGCTCTAGCCTAGCTCGACCGCGCCCCGCAGAGCAGGGCCCCAGGCTTTCCAGTTTTACGGCCCTGAGGGGTGTTTGAATCAGACTTGTAAACGATTCAAAAAATTCCAATCAATTCAATCACGACTCACTTGATGAAATGACCGATTCAATCATAACTCAATCAAACAGTCTGATTTTCCAAGCGATTCAATCACGACTCATGGACCTTGTGATTCAACTCAATCACGACTCATCCCATTATCAGTGATTCAGGGAATGACTCAACTCATGATTTGACTCAACGCGATTCAATCAAGATGTTATATAAAATATATACATATGTGATATCAATTTAAGACATTTTTGGAAACTGATACCAAACAGATATCAACCAAATACACTAGGAAAATACCAAAAAACATAGAAAAGTACTAAATCTATGCTTGCTCACAAATGTCCTGATGAAACAGGGTATTGAAAATATAAAGATTAGCATGGTATCTAAAACATGTGTGTTGAGCACTGAACTCTATAATGAGCATGAGGTGTTGAGCAATGTGCGCCTGCTTACTGCTAGGGACCCTCCCACCTTAACATTAGATTTGAGTTGAGATAGCCAAAATGGGGTCCCTGGCTCACAATTACCGGTTTCGGCACTTACAACATCGAGAAATGCCTTAAATCGGAAATATTGAATTTCAAAATTGCAGCATTTTGATTCAGAGGGGCTAATGCATAGGAATACCCCTCTGAATGTGTGACGTCAGCGCAGGTGTCTAACGATTTTTAAATGTTTGACTAAAACGTTTTGTAGCACGCGGTGGTATATGCTGCTTAGCGCGCAACAAATGCCGCACTTTCAAATAAAGTCGCTAGGAACAGCGGAGATCCCAAAAAGTAAACAAAAGTAAAAGTCAAATATCTTGAAAACCGGTGAATATTTTTCGATGAAATTTGGTAGATATTCGTTTTTGCTCTTTTTGAACCGAGCGACATCACTTTCATGCCAATTCATTAACTTTTTTGAAGGTGGGAGCCGGGAGGGTCCCTTTAACTTGATTACTATACTGATTTTAGGGCACTGGAAAGAAACTTTACATTCATTTTTTCATCTTCATGCATTGACATTTATGTATAATTTTGTGTTTACAGTTTGATTAAAAACTTAAAACAACATTTTTTATGTTTTTTTTTCAATACTGATAGCTATGCGCATTTATAATACTGACAAAATACCTAAAAATTTTGCAGTGCATTGTGTGTGACTATGATGCAAATGCCACATATATTTCCACATAATATAGTACTAAATATGGTCATAACTTCAATTTCCAGCACATGGTGATTGAATCATTTTGTTAATTGAATCAACTTGAATCTATGAGTTGCCGATTCAATCACTTGCAGTTGCCATGTGTGACCGATTCAATCAGGATTCATATGGTGACAAGAGGTGATTCAACCGACTCAATCACAGTGAGTCGGCATTTTCAAGCAATTCATGAGAATCGATTCAATCAGAGTTGAATCGCTTACAAGTCTGGTTTGAATATTCCCTTCTAACCTGACTCCAGGGCCACGTAGCGACAAGTGCGGCGGTAGGCGGCTTTCTAAAGAGCGTCAAAAATCATGGAGAAATTGCTTCAGTCATGTTGCAGTTCAGAACAAAGCCCCCGTCATCATGTTCATCGAAGGAAAAGTTTCGCCTATTTCGACACTCGAGGACATATAAAGCTATAGCGCGCTGAAAGTGGGTTCGATAGCTCTCTAACGCGTGCAATTAGCCATGGGGGGGGGGCGTATCGGCCAAACCCGATCATAATTTAAGAAGGCTAGAAAGACGAGAAAAGCAACAGATAGCTGTAGGATGCTTCAGAATCGCAGAGGTCATTTTTCGATTAGGTCATCGCTGAGGTCATTGAAGATGAACTTATGATAAAATTATAATAAACACAAAGACATGATAACGGCGATTTTTTTTAATATTTTTACAAATAACCGTATAACTCGCGAAGCAAAGAGCTAGAGCTTCGCGGAAAATCATTCGATAGGCCTTTCAAAACGCTTTCGCTTTTAAGATTTGACCTCAATGCCTCATGTCAATGGTTTGGCAACAGAGCAGAGGGCAAAACCATCTATATAGTCGCATTTTACCAAAATAGTTTTACTAAGAGTTTTTGCAAGAACTTTGGTGAGAAAAATTATGAGACATTTACTTTGTCATCATTCTCTCGTTAACATGCATCGAATGTTAACACCCATAATTTCACATAAAAAGCTCAACTTCAAAATGTGACCGCAGATCAAGGTCATGCCCTTACTTGAGAAGTTCATGATGGTCATCAACTGATCCGTGTGGATGATTAACACCTTCAAGACAATTTCATTACTCTACCTCGTCTCCTATATCAAAAGTAATAGTCGAAAAACTGGTGTTGAGCTTTTTGAAAAGCTTTTTGACCTAGCCCGACCATTTGAGTGGCCGCTGGCCATCAATTGCACGCTGTCCATCAAATATGGGCAGAATGGTCGTTTTCTGTAAATATGCTGTTGTTTTTTACGTGCCTCTTCAGATCAAGAGATATTTGTCCTTTTCCCCGATTTGGCTGGTAATGATCAGGACAATGATCTGACCTTTCGTTGTTGGTAAGGGGCCCCCCATTAGGTTGAGGGGGGCCCACTTTGCTGGGGGCCCATCGCAAACGTCTCTCACCCCCGTCGCCAGAGTTCTGGCTGCGCCACTGGGCCCCTGCCCGCAACCTTCGGCGCCGCCCCCGGCCGCCCGTCAGTTAGCGTCCCCTCCAATCCGCCGGGGCTCCTTTTGTGACGTCATACCCACCCCCGGCGGCGCCTGGGGGTAGGTCCGCAGTGGGACCGCGCCAGTGTCGGTAATATTTTGATGCGGGGAGGGCACGCCATGTCATGCCCACGAGGATATGGTGGCTAGGGACTTCTGAGGTCGAGGAATAAGGATCGTCGGACATTTGAGCCTGACAGCTGAGCGCCCTAAGCTTTCAAGAAGGAGAGGAATTAGAATGTATTCGCACGCAAGGTCCGTGGCGTCTGCACGACTAAAGAGCATGTACTATAGTTCGTTTTTTTTTTTCAAAAGGACGCTGGCTCCAAGTATGTTTTTCGAACAAGCACGTGTTTTAGCGAGCAAAACGGGCAAAAACTGAACCTGAGAAACTCGAACGTCGCCTTATTTTAACATGTGAATTATTCCCGATAAATTCCATGCCTGCGTTTTGGAACTAGACATGAGAACAGTGGTGACGTCATGCTGTGGAACTTGCATTGCAATGCAATGCAATGCATAACTACCATGGAAAGAATCGCTTACTCGATTTGGGCCTCGGTAATAGCAAAAAACAAAGTTTTCCCAAAATTCGTTGGCAATGAAAGCTTTCGTACGGACCATTTCGTTTCGTTCGGTGCCAGCTGTCACCAGTGACGTCATGATAGTATGCTCATTTTTGAAGTCACAATTTCCATGTATTTACCGAGCACAATTTGAAATCAATCATTTTTTTTCGGCAAGAAATTCTTAGCCAGACGCTTAAGTTGTTTTAGAGTCATATTTTTCCCAGGTTTATGTTTGTAGATATAAAACTTTATCGGAATTCACTGGGATTGTATTGCGTATGCAAGTCCAAATATTTCGGCCAATATTGTTTGGCCTTGGTCACTGGACAACTACAATAACCCTATAACTTAATAGGGTTAGTTGTAGTTGTCCAGTGACCAATAACTTATAGGGTTATTGTAGTTGTCCAGTGACCAAGGCCAAACAATATTGGCCGAAATATTTGGACTTGCATACGCAATACAATCCCAGTGAATTCCGATAAAGTTTTATATCTACGCTTAAGTTGCCAAAACTCACGTGAGAGCTTCGATAATGAACTTTGAGCCAGCGTCCTATTGAAAAAAAAAAACGAACTATAACTTGAGCACGTTTTGTTCAAAGGTGAGTGGAAGTCGACCCGGGAAAGGGTCAAAAGGGCTATCGAATTTTTTCCGCGGCGCCGTAGCACTATAATTGGTTTCCGAGTTGTGTGACGGTGTTTCGAAAAAAAAGTTTAAATAGGCAACCTTTTTTCATTTAATGGCATCTGGTGACCTGACCTTTGACTTGACCTAAAAATTGAATGACACATTTTCGTTCTTAAAGGGACTATCCCACCTTCTAAAATGTTGTTAAAACCAGTTAAATTGTGCCCGACTTTATAGATTGGATGACCAGGAACACGGTTCTGGCATTTATTTTTCATTAAACATCTTAGGCTTCCCATATTCCAAACACAAACTTTCAAATATGTGACGTCACAGCCCAAAATTACCTCCTTCCCCAGGCCACATTACTGTCATAAAGCTGATTCTTTTTACTCTGTAGGCACCACAACAAAGTTCAGACCAAGTTTTAAGCGATTTTTCAACGAACAAACCCATTTAAATCAGAATGACTAAACGAGGTGACGTCACACTAACGGTCGCTCCATGTTGAAGATAGGGCCTTGTACAAGGCCCATTTTCAAATGAAGGGAACGAATTTCTTCAACACCAAGAGACCGCGGAGGTTGCAACCTAGATATATAGTGGTTTCTGAACCTCGCCGCAAACTTGGCTATCTCAACTCAAACCCCATGTTAAAGGTGGGATAGTCCCTTTAATTTGGACGCTCTTTCGAATGCCGTTTTCTGCTTGTCACTACTTGACCCGGGATCAGGGTTGAAAGAGCGGGGTGTTGGACCCCCTCCGCCCAGCAGGGCGTGGAAATCAAGGACCCTCAACGGGGTGCGGGTTAGACATCTTTAGTCGACAACCAAACAAGCCCGTTTTCCTTCGGACGACAACCACCGAAACACTTTTTTCAGCCTTGTCTTTGTGATCGCTGAGGGCTCTACCTTTGACCGGACCAAATACAGTGCTTTCTTATCTGTATTTGTTATTTCGACCTGGGAGCCTGGGCATTGCTGGGCAGTGACAAGCAATGCCTGGGCATTGCTTGTCACTGCTTGTCACTTGGTCGGGGACCAGTGGGAGCTAACCGATAAAAAAACGTCATTTTCCACATTGATTTGCTATATTTGGACCACCAGAGCGCAGATTCCAGCAGAAATGGTTTTGTGACTGTCAGTCAAGGTATTAGCTGCCAGAAAGCCTACTAGCTGTCATAGATGCGTCTAATACCTGACAGGGTAAGTCCCAGGTGCATCTTGGCCGGAGCTGGGCTGGTGATCCGTCGCAGAGACGTGGCATTGAACGTCGGCTGGCCTGCCGGGAGTCAGCTCCCGTCTGTGTACCGACAGGACAGTGAAGTTACGCCGACTCAGGAGCGCCCGGCGGGAGTCTCAGGAGTCTCAGGAGCGTCCGACGGTGCTGGCCCCCATCATGCATCTGAGCGCTCCGACTGGAAACGTATCTGCGGCGGTGGACCTGACCTCGCTCCAGCCAGGTGAGCAGGGCGACCCGCTGGATCCTTCCATGCAGCTGCTCTGTGCGGCTCAGCTAGTGATCTCAGCGGTTCCGTCGCTGTTTCTGGTTCGTGACATTGAACGCTCACGTGATCCTGGAGCTCTTGATGAGCTGCTTCTTCTGAGGGCTTTCATCAACGGCATGTGCTGGCCCATGACGAACGCCTTCAGCCTGCTGGTGGACAGCCTTCGAGGGATGCTACCGGCGACGTGGCTGCGGCCGGTCTGTGCCATCCACGGGCTGGTGATAGTGAACGGGATCGGTTTGGTGACAGCATCGAACAGTATCATCAGTCTGTGTCGTCTGCTGCAGCTGACGGTCGCCCGTCGCCCGGCCGTGGCCTGGCGCATCACGCATCAGTTCATCATCTGGCAGAACCGGGTCGCAATGCTCCTCCTGGCTGGCCTGTTCTCGTCCCTCTTCTTTGCCGACATGCTACCAGGGGCCTACACATTCTGGTGCACAGACACCTTGTCCTCGGAGCTGAAGGTCTGGACCAACATACCCCTCACCATCAACAGCGCCATGCACTTGTGGACGTTCTTCTGCAGTCTGGTCCTGTTGCAGGTCAGCAGCGGGACACCGGACACCGGTCGGCCTCGCAACTACCTGCCGGCGTACAGCTGGGCGCAGCTCTGTCTCGTCACAGTCATCGCCAAGACTCTGCTAGTGCCGTTCAACACCAGCAACCTGAGTCTGAAGCAGAAGTACCTCGGCAATGTGGCGCTCTTCACCGTCATGTCGGGGGTGCTGGACCCGTGCCTGCAGATGCTGATGGCCAGACGCTGGCGACAGCAGATGAGGAGGCGGCGCCTGCAGATCGCCCTACTGCGAGACACACCTCAGCGCGGCTTCGTCATCCCCGTCATCAGGCTTGAGTTGATCTGAGGTAGTGCTGTTGTGCCTGTGTAAGAACTCGAGCGACATCGCCTAGCCTGAGAGCTGGTTGGAGAACTCGGCTGCGTCCCTCTTTGTGGCGATACACTAGACCGGAGAAGTGTGTTTGGGAGCAAGAAGTAAACTTCTGCAACGGGTTGTCGAAGTCCTGACTTGAAAAACACACTTCCGCAAACTTGCTGAAGTGATCTCAAAGTGAAGATGAATATATTGAGTGCAGGCTGAGACTAGCTAAGTTGTAAGAAAAACTCGTGCTACAGCAATGGTCGCTACGGCTACCCTTGATGGTGCACGGACTAGAGTGGACCGAGGAAACATGCTTATTGTTCATCTTTGGCTCTAAAGTCACGAAATGCAGCACACACGACGTGTTGTGTGGAGTGTGGACTGTGAAGGGTAAAAAATGATGCGATAATGTAATGAGTGTACCTATCTACTGAATAGACTACATGTAAGAAAATAAAAATGTTTCGTTGTGAAAAGAGCTACGTACAGCCCACCGCTAAAGTAACTAATGTAGGGTTTTACCAATCTCAACGGTTGGCTTTGACTGGCGATTGTTTCATGCGGAGTGATCGAAAAGAAGATGTCAATAGCTAAAGTTGCAGCTGCAAGGGTGACGATACATATAAGCTACATTCAAAGTTTCATTGTAGTCTGGTTAATCGTTCCTTAACCCTCGCCGGCCGAGGGGGGGGGGGCGGGTGCCGCCCCCCCCATAGGGTTTTTTCGCGATAGCTCCGAACACGCTGGCGATAGAGAGCTGAAACTTGGCATACCTGACCTTTGATCCAAGCCGGATCTTTTGACACCAACCGCATTTTTGGGTCAGGTCAGGTCACTGACCTATGACGTCATAAGTGAACCTCTGCACGGTCTTCAGATGTCGCAACTTCGCAACGCCCTCACTGCCAGAGGAGATGTCACAGGGAAATGAAACTTGCAGAATCTAGTATCCATTATGAGTCCCACAACTTGTATATCTCGGATTTTTCCTAAAGGTCATATGAGGTCAGGTCATTTTCGTGACCTCACCAATCACCATTATACATAAGTCAATGGGGAAAAATTCAAACTGCTATTCTGGCGCCGGGAACGATCTCCAACTATCTCAAGCACACAGAATCGTGATTTGATGCACTCCTTGCAAGGTAAGATGCGTCACTTTTGCAATGTTGACCTTGCGTGACGTCATTTATGACGTCATCAAGGTCATATTAGTATTTCGTCAATAACTCTTGATCAAATTGAGATAGCGAGTCGGGAAAGCCACCAATGGACTCAGGAAGACCTGCCGAATCGAATGATATGCAACATGACCTCTTTCGACCAACTTCGTGACTTGGGGGTGCTGACCTGACCTTGACCTGAGGTCAACACCCCAAGTTGACCTGACCCGGACAAAAAGTATATCATTCGACGCGCCTGAGCGAGACGAACACGATGCTGCCAAAATCGGCGCTCTGCGACCGTTTTTTGCGAAGTTATTCACCAAAAACTGAACCGCACCTTGGGGCACTTGACCTGACCTCAGAGGTCACTGGTTGACCTAGGACCTTAAAATCGGGTACCAATCTCTGCGTCTTGTAACGGCACACACGCTCGTTTTTTCCGCGACGCGCTAGCTCCACCAGGGGCGAAACGGCGAGGGGGGGTCGTACCCGCCCCCCCCCCTCGGCCGGCGCGTATGTAGAAAACCAGTAGGTCCGGCGAGGGTTAACCCTCGCCCGTAAACGGTGTTTTGCCACCTTCGCCCATGCAGGGGGGGGGGGGTTGGTGCGACCCCCCCCCTGGCGTTTGAAAACGGAGCGTCGTAGAGCTTAGCGGAAAAGACCAACGGATTGCTCTCAACGAGATCTCGCGATTGGTGGTATATTTTTTGGTTCTAGGTCAATATTTGACCTACTTATGACCGGTCAAAGGTCAATTTTTTCGGAAAAATCAAACTTTTTCAGATTCCCGCGCCGATTGCGGCAAAACGGTAAGAGATATCGACTTGAAACCTTCACTATCGTGATCCTTGATCAATTCTCTATCGTTTGGTGTGTATTTCGATGTCATAACTCTAAAAATGATGCGTTGGGAGCATCGGAGATCTGCAAGGTCATTTGTGCATTGGGTCACGTCAGGCGTGTGACGTCACTGACCTGACCCTGACCCAAAATGAACTACAAGAAACAACCCACGATGCCTGAAATGGATAGCAAATTCGAATTCAGGGCATGAAAATACCCCGAAAAGGCATACAAGTGCAAGAAGTGATCACAGGTCAACCGAGGTAACTGACCTTACCTTGACCTTAAGTAACCTTCAAAATGTCAACGGACATTGTGCCAATGTCAAATCAGCCACTAGCCAGTTGTGATTCTAAAACAATCCATCAGTGTGTCAGGTCAGTCGGCATTTATACCAATGTGAAGTAATCTCCAATTTAGCGTAAATCTGGCCGGAGGTTGTTCCCTTTATGACGTCATAACTCCGTGACCTGACATGACCTTGACAAAAAAAATACCAAAAGTTGCGCAAAGGATGCCCCAAAGGGTACTTAAAATTTGAGTAGGCTATCTGAAACGGTTCGGCGTGTAGCTAAGAAAAACCTCAGGGGGGGGTTGCACCAACCCCCCCCCCTACATGGGCGAGGATTAAGCTTCAGAAGCAGAACATACCCATGACTGAAACCGCACATTACTTCTGCTGTGGACTGTACCTGCTGTTTCGTAGTAAGTTTCAGCTTTGATAGAAACTGTTGTTTACATTATAGGAATACCTGATTTATCAAAGAAGGATACGTTATTTGCTAGCAAAACATTGAATACATTCATTATATTTGTATTTTGTTTTTGCATTTGTACATACGATCTCCATTGTAGGGGAGAGTGGGGTAATTTGGCCGGTGGTGTAAATTGGCCGCCCCCACCTGTACGGTGTCTAATAAAAGTGAGTGAAATAACTTTAGTCTCTATGCATTTGTCATGGGTAGAAATAACTGGAGGACAAATGTCAAAACTTTGCCCCTCGTAGTTTTATTCAAAATTAATAAAACGTTAATTTCATTAGAAAATGGTAACTTTTACTTCTGTTTACAAAGTTGTATAACATGTAGTATTTGGGCTAAAAACGACTTCAGACATTATAGCGCCATTCTTGGGGGTGTTCAGCGGTTCCAAGAGCAATTTCATCGAATTCCGTATAGCCGTGATGACTTTATACACAAAAATTTTCAGAATGGCAATATGGGGTAATTTGGCCGGGACTAGCGGGGCAACTTGGCCGGTGCGCTCATGGTCACTATGCTGGGACGGCCAAGTTTTCATGGTCAATTGTACCATAAATGATATGATTCATGACCAACTTTGACTACTTTGATGCCTTACTTCCGATTGGTCAACTGTAAGAGCATGTGACGTCATCAAAGGTTACCAAACGTTTTTTGCTAATAAATCCTTACATAAAAATGGTACAGCCGCACAAATGGTCTCATTCTGTTCAGCTCGCCAAGGCGCATCGAATGATATGCATGATGACCTTGATATCACGTGACCTTGAGGTCAAGCGACCTGAGGTAACTTGACCTGAGGTCAACCTTTGACCTTGACTTCTCGAGGTCAACACAAATATCCTTCGATGCGGAATGACGAGAGAATTACGATGGTACTCGAAGTTTTGGCCTAGCTTGATTACTTCAAAAGTTATTCGTAAAAAAACTGTCTTCGCATCTAGAGCCGCTAATTTGGCTATTTTGACCCCTGTGACCCCACGAGTCAACCTCCAAAATGTGGTAAATGCGTCATAAGACACACGTCATTGCTGAATCTGAAGCTGACTCGCAATATAACAGAAAAGCCCGACCGCAAACTAACACCGGCCAAATTGCCCCACACCCCCGGCCAAATAACCCTGCTAGTGGGGCAATTTGGCCGCCTTGCAGACCTTTGTAATACGTCACAATTTCTTAATATAAGTCAGTTAGCATGACTTGTGCTTGTGATTCCACAAGTAACAATCAATCACAATACATCCATCCTTCCCCACAACTGAACGCCAGTGCCACTGCACCTTCACCGATGTCCCCGCCCGCCTGACGGCGAGGCGACCGGTGCCGGCGGCGCTATGTCCTACCCGCCCAGCCCGGCCGGCCGACCGGTGGAACCGTCGGCCCAGCCGGCCGGCGAGTCGCACCGGGACCGCGGCCGGGAACGGGCGCGCTTGTAGACAGTCTCCGCCGGCCGGTGACCGTCAGTGATCGACGACGACGGAGAGTGAGAGACGACATCGGAGGACGCTGGACGCCATCGAGGCAGCTGAAGGAGGGGTAGACAGTGCGAGTGTAAATTGGGAGATTGTTGTAATCAGTAAGACAGTGCTCGCTGGAGGTCGAGTGACTGACTTCGAGCCTGGGAAGGACAGCGCAGGACTGTGTGAGATTGAGATAGAAACGTGTAAGAAGAGATAAGCGAGAACCCAGCGATTTTGTGGAAGCGCTCAGTGAGAAAAAGCGAGACGCGAGGAAGAGTGACAGTGCGAGGACTAGCACTGGACCCAAAACAATCCCAAGTGAACAACAAAAGCTGTGGTGTCGTGCTCACTAGCTCAGCACCAGAACCTTCTTCTCTCCCGGCGCTCTCTCAGCCCTCAGGATGCACTCGGATCTGATCCTGGTTGTGGCCGCTCAGGTGCTGGTTATCAGCGCCGTGGCCGCCGCCATCGGGGTCCTCCTCCTCCGCCACCTGGTCTGCCGGCGTCGGGTGCGCTCCAAGGGCCGCGCCGTGCTGGTGACCGGCTGTGACCGCGGCGTGGGGCTCGAGCTGGCCGCCCACCTCGACTCTCTTGGCTTCAGGGTGCTGGCCGGGGTGCGCGAGCCGTGTGGCGCCGGAGCGGCTCGGCTTCAGGCTCGTACCTCGGTGCTGACCCGCCTGGTGGACCTGGATGTGACCTCAGAGGTCAGCGTGGCGGCCGCGGCCGGCCAGGTGCGCCGAGAGCTGCAGGAGACCGATACAGGTGAGAATGAATGGATCCTCGGCGGGAGGGGAGGACGGTTTGTCAGGGATAAATAAGGTTGTTTTTTTTTTTTCAATGATAAATGAGGGTAGTTCGCTCAGCGAGATGTGAGAGGTTCTCTCAGCGATATGGAGGACGGCTAGCCGTTGAGGACGAATGATTTAAGAGATCTGTATGTGACGGTTGAGGCTCCCGCTAAGTTGGAAAACAATTTCCTTGTGATGCCATAACACACTGAAGACTGTCTGACTGCAGCAGCTCAGATAACGTCTTAGCGTGTGATCTTTCTCATTGCACGAATGAAAGGACGGCTGACCTGCGCCGATTAAGCAATGCGCTTATTGGCCCCACGCTGTGTCCCAAATAGCTGATTGTTTTTAATCATCTCATTAGCGCTTGCCGTGCTCTGTGCATCAGTCCGATACCGACTGAATCACAGCACAACCTCTGCCGTGACGTGACCCCATA